GATTAAGATATATATATATATATATATATATATATATTATCTATTTGTAACGGTTGAGTCTGAAGAAACTTATTGAAAAGAATACTTGATGTTGAACTTGGAGAAGTTTTTTGAAAAGAATACTTACTGTTGAGTCTAAAGAGACTTGTTCAAAAGAATATTTGGTGTTGAACCTAAAGAAGCTTGTTGAAAAAATACTTGAGTAGTTGTTTGAAGAGGCAAGTCAAAGACTACTTAGATTTGAGTCAAAAGTAACTTGTTGAAAGAATATTTGTATCTTGAAAAAGATAATGGAATCTGGTTGAATTAAAAACTAGACGTAGTCTCTGGATTTGAAACAAACCAATATAAAAATACTTGTTTCACTTTGTCTATTGTACTTTATCATTGCGTCCATAAAGTCATATTGCTTCATTGTTTTTGAAACTAGGAGCTTTTGAGATACACTATTCAACTCCTCTTATAGTGTGTATCTTTTTCTCCAATATCCTCCATCATGGATATTTCAAACTCACTTTACATAGTCTTAGTAAACACTTGACATAAAGAGGAGTTAGTAGCACCAAATACAATATCAATCACATAAAATTTAACATAGTATCATTTCCAACCTTTTTTACAAACAAGGTGTTATGTACTTTACCTTTTTCATAGTTATTATCAAGCAAGAATTTACTTAATCTTCTAGACCAAGACTTAGGACCTTGTTTAATCCATAAAGTGTCTTTTTCAATTTAAAGATGTGATTAGAAAATTCAAAATCAATAAAATCATGGGTTGGTGAACATAAACTTCTTCCTAAATGAAACCATTTAAAACTACATTTTTGACATCTATTTGATAAAGCTTAAAGTCCATAATAGATGCACATACCAACATCAACCTAATTGACTCTATTCTAGCTATAGGGTCATAAGTTTCATCATAATTAATACCTTCTTCTTGATTATATCCCTTGGCAACCAATCTCACCTTATTTTTAATTATGGTTCTACACTCATCAAACTTATTTCTAGAAATCCATTTTGTACCAATTATAGGATGATTTTGAGAGGAAATGTTTAACTTGAACCTATTTGATCAATAGACATTATATGCTCAATAATCAGTCAAGACCTTGGTGCTACAACACAATTCCATAAGATTAAATGTTATTTATTGAAGCTTCTAAACAATAATACTTTGTCAACCTTCTAAGTACTAAATAGAACAACTTTGAAACACTTGAGCATAATTGTTAGTACTCCACATGAGAACTCTTTTATATTAAAACTCAAAATTAAGAGTTTGTCATTATTAAAACACATATTAAGACAGGATTTAACACAATATGCTCACTTTTACTCACAAGTGTATCTTCTTCTCCAACACGAGCAACAATATAATGGAGTGTAGGTTTTCTTTTCCCAATTAATTTTGATTTACTTCATCAAAATTTTGACATGGAAGAAACTAGGGGCATAACTATTTCCAATAGGCTTTAAACTTGCAATGGTAGCTATATTAAAAAGCATCGATCCAACAAACCCACAAGGAAACTCGAATGCACGAGTTTCTCTATGCTAAAAAGTAACACTACAAAAAAATCAAGTTTTAGCGACCACCAAA